TGAGAGCAAGCCCTTTTAAGAAGCACAGAAGGCTCTGGGTGTATTTCAAATGGCTACTTCCGGGCCGGCCCCATGGCTTGGTGGTTAAGTGCACGCGCTCCGATGCTGGTGGCCTGGGTTCGGATCCCGGGTGCGCACCGAGGCACCACTTCTCCGTCCATCCTGAGGCCGAGTCCCACATACAGCAACTAGAAGGATGTGCAGCTATGACATACAACTATCTACTGGGGCTTTGGAGGGAAAAAATAAATAAAAAAAAAAAAATAAATAAAAAAAATAAAAAAAAAAATGGCTACTTCCCCGCTTCTCCTGTTAGAATCCTGAGGAGACTTTTTTCTTTAATCTTTACTGTGAGGACCTGGTAGGGCTCCCAGAGGTAAAACTCACAAAATTGTGGGGGTCCCCCTAGTAGGACTAGACTCCCCTGGAGTTTTCAAGTCTCAGACTTGTCCACACTGAGCCTCCAGTTATTCACCAGTTACAGTTTAGATTTTCCTACCCTGGTGCTGGTTCCCTGATTTCTGCTCATGGGTTTCTGCTCTGGTGAGTTGTAACTCTATATCCACCTGTTTGTCTCTGTAGTTTTGGGGGCAGCAGTTTGCCCTGTGACCTCAATTATCTGACAAAGCTAAAAAGAATTGTTTTTTAGTTTGTTCAGCTTTTTACTTATTATTAGGACAAAATGATAACTTTCAAGCTCTTTACATGCTGGACCACAAACCGAGAGTCCTCTCTCTAATTTTTTATCATCCATTTTTAGTTGTTGGTAGGATATTTTATTATTATTATCATTATCATTATTATTACTATTATTACTAAGGGCTTTTGAGATTCATGCAGTCCAAGTTTGGAAATTAGAGGTTAAAATATTTCAAGTAAACCATTTGTTAAAAACAACGGAAAATAAAGGTACTTGTGTCTTTAGATAATATTGCAAAGAAAATTGCTTCTACTTCAGGAGTTTCCCTGCATAAAACACTTTAATTCATTTGGTTCACAAAGTTTTTCTGACAGTTTTCAAAGTCTTCGCTTGAAAAAAAAAAAAATACAGGTCTGAAACACAAAGCCTAAAAGAGAAATAAACTCTGATTTATCCACAGTCATTCCCAAGTATCAATTCTAAATCTAACCTTCCCCAACCTTCTGTAATGGGCTACGGCATTTAGCTGTGAATAAGAACAAATGAAAATCTCAAGCAACGACTCAAAACCTCCATGACCAGGCAAACTACTTTTGATAGGTTGTAGAAAAACTGTCCTTACTAATGCTTTGGTATGATGATGATTATTAATTCAATTAACAAGCATATTGAATTTGTATAAAGACTGGTGGTCTAGTGGTTAAGAATCTGCTCTCTTACTGCTGTGGCCCGGGTTCATTTCTCTGTCAGGGAACCACACCACCTGTCTATCAGTTGTCACAGTGTAGTGGCTGTGAGTTGCTGTGATGCTGAAAGCTATGCCACCAATATTTCAAATACCAGCAGAGTCACCCATGATGAACTAGTTTCAGCGGGGCTTCCAGACTAAAATAGACTAGGAAGAAGGACCTGGCCATCTACTTCTGACAAAATTGGCCATGAAAACCCTATGAGTAGTAGCAGAGCATTGTCTGATATAGATAGCAGGGGAAGGTGAGAGGATGGTGCAAAGAGCCTGGGCAGGGTTTTGCTCTGCTGTCCACAGGGTCACTGAGAGTCAGAATCCACTCGACAGCACTAACAACAAAAAAGCATTGACCAAGTGCTAGTAATTTAATCCTATTTTTTCAAAGCATAATATTTAGTTATGGGGTGATAGAGTATTCATACTCTAAGCTGCGGAAAGCAATTTGGTGATAATTATAATGTAACTTGTAAGGAAATGTAAATTAAGAAGATACTTAGCAGACGTAGCACTTTATTCTAGAATGAGTGTCTTTGGGGTCAGAGAGATGGGGCATGCAATCCTAGCTCTACCATTTGGACATGTTACTTAACTTCTCTGAGATTCAGTCCTTCATCCGTAAAATAGGAAGTAAAAATAACTCTTGTAAGGTTATTGCGATTACATGAGACAACACTTGTAGAGTACTGTCTGACTACTACTTGTGCACTATATGTTAGTTTCCACTCCCTTCTATTCCAATACAATTAAGTGTCTAAGTACTATTATTAATGGAGAACAGAAGTGCCCACACATTTTGTTTGGGCCACATAGTGTTTTATTTATTTATTTATTTGGAAGATTAGTCCTGAGCTAACATCTGTCACCAATCCTCCTCTTTTTGCTGAGGAAGACTGGCCCTGGGCTAACATCCATGCCCATCTTCCTCCACTTTTATGTGGGATGCCGCCACAGCATGGCTTGACAAGCAGCGCGTCAGTGCGCCCCTGGGATCCGAACCCTGGGCCGCGCAGCGGAGCGCATGCACTTAACCGCTAGGCCACCGGCCCAGCTGCAGTGTTTTGTTTTTTTAGTTTGAATTATTTGACAACACTTAAAATTTTTTCACACATGAAATCTGGATTTCTGTTTTCTCCTGAAATTTACAATGTCTGGGACCTCCATAGGGCATGAATCTGTTGGAGCTGAGTGGCTGTTTCCCCCTTCATATTTCTCCAGTCTCCACTGCTCCTTATTGTCTTGCACTTACTTTACTCACTTACATGACCTGCCTGGCCCCAGTGAGACATTTGTGTTTGTGACATCCGATGAGAGTATAAATGTGGTTAAAGGGTAATATTAACTCAGGAAGGCTTGCTGAGGACATGTGAGCTAGGTTTTGAAGAAGGTTCATAGGCAAAGAGTATGTCTTTAGTGGTTATGAGGTTAAAGCTATGGGTCTCTGACTGGACCTCTGTTTGATTTGAGCAGGCTCTCATGAGTACTTAATGGGCTTCTTTTGTCCTTGAAGAAGATCAGCAATGAAGTGTGTGGCTTGACCTCGCTGAAATTAGTTCACAGTGGAGGATTAGAAAAAGAAATATCTTTTCTAGTACAAGCTTGGCTTTTATTGGTGCACACATCTCCCCCTTTCACCACCACCTCACCACCAACAAAGCCAGAAGCATATTCACTGTCATTTCCTAACCTGTAAGGATTAGAGGAATACAAACAAGAACAGACAAAGAGGGAAGTCTGGTGAATTTGAATATGCATTTCTTCATAGGCAGAACAAACGAGAGTACTGAGTTATCTGCATAAATCAGTCTATAGCAAATCAAAGAAATTTCAGCAAAAAGGGGATGTTTTGCCTGAAGTGTGTGGAGCTAATTACCCTCATTATCTCAGTCCTTTACTTCACTATTCCTGGGAGGACCTGGCCTAGGAATGCTTTTCCCATGATGTGACAGATTCAGAAGTGGAGAGAAAAGGTATTACTGTAATTGGAGCTGTGGAACTTGAGCCTGATGCTGCCTGTGTCCAGAACACCTGTTGAGCACATCCAGGCGCAGACTTTCTCAGACTAGCATGGTTGCTGGAAAAAGGGGCTCTGAGAAGATGATCATGGTCTGCACGCTGCTGAGAGAGGAATGCTGGCACCCAGAGGAGGCACACTGGCTTCCTTTTCAAGATCTTTACAACTTTAACACTGTCATAGAAGTTATAGATGATTTTCAGTTTTCTGTTTAAAAAGTGTCTTTTTTCCAACAGCTTTTAGCAATAAAAAGGACAACTTATTAATGAAATTCATCTGCCTTCAAAGTATGAAATAAGATTATTATAACTACAGGCAAGAAAGCATTTGGATTATGTGGCATTTGGAAATGATAATAAAGGTTATGCATATGGTCTAATGTCAGTGTCTTACATTGCATTAGCAGTCACCTAATATGGGGGTGATTTTGATTATGTGGCTCATTTTAAATTCTGCTGGGTCATGGTCTACTAGAAATAGCTGCCATTTTCTTTCATAAATGCTACTAGGTACATAGACAGCATTAGAATAATTTAGGACTAAATATTTTTGGTATTATGGCACAACAGTCTTCTTAAACCTTCTCACTTTATACCTTCTCCTAAAGCATCTCTAATTCTATTCTTGTCTGTCTTAGGTGCATAAAACAACCTCCGGTAGTAAAAGCTGTAAAAATTTGTTTTATCTGTTTATTTGTATGTCAGTTTCTTTTAGGTTTTTATGACTTTTGTTCAGGTATCTGTAACTTCAAATTACGAGCTTTTGGTGGTCAATGAGCAGGATGCAGAGGCCAGGATTAAACTGTCTCCAAAAGAGTTGGAAATCTCTGCCTTCCTTGGCCTTTTTGCATTCTCTTCCACTGAGGAGGGAAACATGGGGATTTACTCCTTTGCTCAACTTTCTAAGGAAGCCAACAATGTGACTTTTTTTTTTTTTTTTTTTTACCTTCTGCTCTGTTAACCAGCCTAGATGGGGAACTTATTTGGATTCATTTGGGATTTGGTCCAGTGTCATCACTATCTGAGAATTCATGATGTGCCCTCCAGTGCTCCTGAGGCCTGAGCTCCTTGTCCTGTATAGGCTCTGTGTCACAGCCTGCTTCCTGTATGCATGCACTCCAGTTCAGCTGTCTTCATGCCTCGCCTAGTTTTGCTCTTTAGTTCTACAGTATGCCCCTTAGATTTATCCTTGAATTATTTCAGTTTTGTCTGGCAAATATTTAGTAGGGGGGATCTTTTCTTTGACACTGAATATGGCAATGTAGATAGTAATTTAGTAAAAAGGTAATAACTCTAGAAACATCAGTAAATAGATTATGACTGCATTGTACCAGGGTCATTGGCAGTTTTAATTTAGCTTATAGTAGGGGAAACAGAAAATAATGTTTTAGTCTGTACACTCCTAGTATCACTGTGGATTTTTTTGAGAATATGCAACGGATGTTTTTCATCTCTGTTTCTGCAGTTGGCAGAGAACCTGACATCTAGAAGGCACCGTAAATCAATGTTATGGATGAACACAATTAATTCAATAAAAGTTATTCCTGATCGTTGGTCAGTACACTTGTTAATGCCCCATTTTCCATTCACATGCATGTCTATATAATGAACTCTTTGTCCTAAGGAAACTAGCCAAGAAGTGGAAGGAGACGATGAGCAGCACCTAGCCCAAGATGACCGTCATGGTGAACTCAATGGACAAGAGCTATGTGGAGCAAGGTGCAAACTACGACTAGGTGTTCTCGTTCACGGACACGCACAATCTGAACGGGAAATGTAAGTGCTGCACACGTTTCTTGGATTCTCATATCTCTCTCATGTTTTCCAGGATTCCAGATAGTACTGGGAATTAAAAAACAAAAGGATTCTGTTTCCCCAAGGATTTCTGATGCTCTTTTGGTTTCTCTCATCTGTTTAAACGATCCTGAAAACTTCTCTAATGTGCCACACGTTGCTTAGGAGAGATGGTGTTGTAAAGGGGATAGGACCAGATCAGAGAGCACAGGAAGCCACAATTAAGTTTCTGTTAAGACATAGAGCAGTGACATGAAGGCTCCTTTCCTCTCAATGAGGAAAGCACCTGCTTCTCATCATCCTTTTTGTTGTTTAGAGCCTCTTTGTAAGCTAGCCAGGTGTGAAATTACACAAGAGAAGCCTGTTATAAAACGGTTCACTCAATGGCAGTAACAAGTTAATCGTTTGTTTAGCTGACAGCTTCTGCCTTTATTATAGGGCTATCAGTGGCAGTTAACAAGTTAAACTGTATTTCCACTTCACAAGTCTTACATTTCCCACCAGGAAGGTCAACCGAGCCCAGCTGATACCTTTCCACACCACCACTTCTTTTCCAGGTGCAAGGCATTATTTTAGGAAGCTAAGAATTAGATTGATTATACAAAGGACAAAAGGACTGGTGAGTGTGTCCCTGGTGATCTTCTCAGAGACCTGAAGTAAATCCTGTGGTATATGCCTGACTGTAGTTCACAGCCCTGCTGGGTTCAAGGTCAGAGCTTTCTTTACCATGTGAAATGCATGCCCACAAGCTGCTGCTCACCCTGGTTGCATAATCAGGATGTTGGTTAGCATGAGGATAGACTAAAAATGCAGCTATCACTGTTACTAATAAAAATGCCTACAGGCTAGGGGCCTCGTGACTGGGAGAAGCACAGAAATCTGGTCTCTGGGGGAAGAGGGCTGATACTAGTGTGGACAGTGTGTCCTCGTGCCCTGACCACCCATTTGACCTGTTCTGATTCTGCAGCTCTGCCTTGTCTACTCCTCCTCTCTCCGATCACTGCGTGGTCAACGCACATGCCTTCTCCTGTGCGTGCCTTTCTCCTGCATTCAGCAAGGCTTCTTAGAAAGGCTTATTCTTTCTGCTTATAGTGGCCACAGGTCCGCCTTCTCCCACTTAGAGGCTCTACATTTATTTCTTCTGCATGCTCACCTGGCCCATTGGAGCAGGAGTTAGTGGGTGCAGCTTTGACCCCGGTGGGCAGGACAGCATTCCTCATTTTTGGTTATTCTTCTTTGTCCTTTCATGTCATTTTCAGTGTAGGTGACAGAATCTGTGGTACTTCAGGCTACCACAAGCAACATCCCATTTTTTCATAGAATTTTCTCAGCTTTTGTGTAGCAAGTATTATATTTTACGTTAAAAAAAAAAAAAATATATATATATAATGCATTTAACTGCCAAAATAAAGCAACTTAGGATGCATTTGTCGTGGGCTGTGGTGGGAGAAGTTCTTCCCACCACAGACAAGGTTACAGTTTTTGTAGTGGTAATTATTTCTTGAACATCTCTGAAAGGGACCACACAGATATATGTCCTCACTTTCTGGGATAACCCACTAATGTTCCAAATTTTCTATTTCATGGTGAAATTCCTCACAAATAAATTTACTTGGAATTACCTGTCCAAAGAGCAGAAACCTACATTAGTAGTTTCTAGGCTTTTGAAGTTTGAACAACAGGGTATATTTGCCCCTGGACAGGAAATTTAATTTGGCAATTACTTTTTAAAAAGTCAGTGTGTCTTTGGAAATCCACAAATGCTCACGCAAAGAGGACTGCTGCAGAAGCTGGCGTCAGCTTCCATGGCTTGTCAGCCGTTAGGCATTATTGTTTGCCTCCCATCAGTAAAGCCAATAGAAGAAACACAGCAGTAAGCGTTCCATTTTCCTCCCACTCTTGAGCAGTGAGTAGGTCTCATCGAATCCCATCCATCAGGAGTGATCCCAATGGTAAACTTTATCATAATGCTCTCTTAATACCTTGAAAATAAGAGAGCAGTTACTAGGGGAGGAAACTTGCAGGAAGAGTGTTCATTAGAACATTAGGCTTCCAGCCCCAAACCTGTGACAGGTCTAGGTATGTTTGAGATCTTTTAGGGTTGGGAGAAAGTGCTGGCAGTTGGGAGGTGAGTCGCTTTTAGGAATAAGACAGCAAGAAAAGAAGAGATTGGAGAATTTAGAAATAAGAATGAGCACATTTATGAGGGTGGGGAATCATCTGTCCACCAAAGCAATTGTGAGTTGCACATAAAAAAGGGAAAAATAGATATGTGTAGGGGAAATGGGTTTAATTTTTATAGTAAAAGACAAAAGTAAATATCTTTTTTTAAATGGTGAGAATAAACATACTTATTTTTTATCAGCTTTGCACATTTTAGCAATCAAATAAAAATGTCTGCAGGTAATAGGCGTTATTCTTGCTGACCCTAGCATGTTTTATAGGGACTCAGACTTTTTGTTCTTATTTTCATGAGTTGATCTCTTTTTTTCCTGACAGCTTACCATAAACATGGATTATAAATATGATACTTCTCTATTTTAGAAAAATATCTTATAAATGACAGGCGTCCTGGGTTCTGGTTCTTATTCTGTTGTTTACTAATTCTACACTTTAAAAATATAAACACAGATAAAAACACTGTCATAAAGGAACTACTCCAGGAGAGCTAAAATATGTTAACATGTCATCAGAATAAAAATAACATACAGCATCCAGAGGGATTTGGTAATGGTTCCCATAATACAGTGATGTAATTGGGTGTTAGTGTCCTGATCAGGAACTCAACATCTAATAAATCATATACCTATATCAGACGGGTTAAGATTTAGACTTACATTTAACCAGCTTGAGCACATTCAAATAATTTATCCTTACACTTCAACGAAGTGAAAGTGTTTTTAAAGCATTGTTCAATTAAGATGTTAGAGTTTTTTTTAACAAACTACTTTAAAAAGAGGAAATACTTGCTTTCCATGGAATCAGATAAATTGGATGGGATTGACTTTCCCTCTTAATAACAGGGAGGAAAAGAAGGTGTAATAGTTAAATCTTGAGTGTTTCAGAGAAATATTTCAAAGAAAAATAAGTATTTTTATAAGGATTGAAAAGACTAATAGAACAATATATAGACATGCTGCCTTCACGTTAAATATGGCACAAATGAAACATAAACCAGGTCATAACATTGTGGAAAGCTCTCTGAATATCCAAAATATGAGGAAGGGAGGATTTCATTTAGCAAACTACAAAACCATTAACATTCAGAATCTTCTTCAAAAGCCATGTGTAGGCACATTCTCATATTCTTAGTTGTAAAAAACCAGCTCAGCATGACACTAGACTTTTACCAGCAAAGGCTAGAAGTCAAGTGAATTTCTTGATTCAAAATGGTGCCTGTGATTATGAGTTTTTTTCTTCATTCATGGGGTAAGAATATCTTTTAAGTGATAAGAGGGTGCTTGTCCTCTAAAGTACAATTCATTCCCCAAAGACAGTGGGGAATGATAATATTTACCTTGTAGACTTCAGTAAATCTTTGATGTTTCTTCAGTCAAGTCGACACCAGCATGTGTCCCTGTGAGTGATCTTAGAGCGCCATATCTTCAGGTCTTGCCTCTCTACAACTGCTGACTAGCTTTTCTCTTATTTACAGCTGTGTCTTCACCATCATCGTCTGCATTGAAAACAAATACACTGAGCACATGGGTGCATAATGCCTATTACCCAGGTAACAGATTTTTCCATAGTTTCATCTCTTCATAACCCCTGAGCAATCAGAATCCATCAGTGCTTGCTTTGTCGTCCATGATGCTTGAGGAGCTTAACATGTTTGATGTGTTGTAACCTGATGCTTTCTGTGGCTTTCTACGTGAAAATTGGGAGGCCTTTCATCAGTCATTTACTGTTCTTTCTCTTTTTACTTTCTCTGCGTTGACCTGCTTGTGATGTATGGCAGACCCATTTGTGCCAACTGCAATTTTAGGTGAGAACATTTCCCTTTATCACAGTTTATTGCAGGAATAATTTAGAAAGTCAGTGGCTACTCTTTAGGAGACTGGAGTTTTAATTCTGTATGATGTAGTGATTGTAAGCAGGACACGGGGGTGGTGGGTGGCCTGGTGGTGGTGGGGTGTGTAAGTAATAAAAAGACTTTTCTCCAGACAGTTTCCATTGATAAGAAGAGTTTGCCACATATGTGTTGGAAATGATACCAGAAGATTCAAATGAACAATCCTAGCTCCAGTATTCTCCTTTTCCATGCTCAGAATTTAAAGTCAGTTCTGATCTCAGGGAAAAGCACAATATGTCATCACTCAGCTGTGTACTGCCAAGAGCTGAATTCTGTCCAGTGTGACAGTCATAAACGTGAAAATAGCTTCTTATTTTCACTTGTTGCTAAGCACTAAAAACTTCAATTTCAAAAATACTGTATTTCTAAATATGCCACATGTTATGCATAAAAAGGATCACAATAGAGTTTTGGCCTCCTACCCCTCCTTGGAGCCACTCAGGCACCCCCAGCGTTCCAAAGTGTCTGTCACACAGTGGAATTTCAAAGGAGCTGATGTTCTCAATAGCAAAATAACAAGATATGCTTTATAATCACATGAGTTATTATGTATCAGATGTCACTAGAAATGAAATAAAATGTTAGCTCAGTGGGGCAGAATGCATTGAAAGTATGAAATGTTCCCAGCAGAGAATTAAAGAAAAAAAATCCTTTTTGTCCACTGTAAGAAGAGTGAGGAGAAATAGCATTATCTGGCTATGATAACCAAAGAAGCATGACCTCCTGTTGCATTTGAGATGCATGAATAACCCGGCTGTGTTCCCTTTCTGGTACTAATCCTACTGAAAAGGAGCACAACACTAACAACTTCAAGATATATAACAATTCATCGTAGTGTGAGTTCCAGCCTCAGCTGTTCGACTTATGCTTCCTAATTCTCTCTACAAGGGTTTACAGGCCTTAGATATGCCTGTATATCTTTACATCTCGTTTTATTGTGCTTTGCTTTGTTACATTTTGGAGATAACTGTGTTTTTTACAAGTCCCTTCACCAGCAAAAAGGTTTTGACTTGCTTAATGCTCAGATGATGGTTAGCATTTTTTAGCAATAAAATATTTTTTAATTAAGGTATGTACATTTTTTTTTTAGATATAATGCTGTTGCACACTTAATAGGCTACAGGATACTGTAAAGATAACTTTAATATGCACTGGGAAACCAACACATTTGTGTGACTCGCTTTATTGCGATTGCGGCGGTCTGAAACTGAACCTACAGTATTTCTTAGATATGCCTGTATATCTTTGCAGCATTATTTTTCCCCTTGTGCTTCTCTTTTTTGTAAGTTGTTATCATTTTTGCATAGAGGGTGGTTTTTTGTCCTTAGGATGTTTTTTAGGCTTAAGCAAGTTTGTTGCCTGGGGAAAAAATCAACTCAGACAGAAGTTTAAGAATGGACATAAACCAGAGTTTTTGAATTTGCATCATTTTGGGGGCTAACAAACAAAGCTCACTAAAGCTGCCGCCCCCATCCCAGTACCAACTATAAGGGAAAGAAGACTGCATTTTTATTCATAAGTGAGGGTCACCCAAACAATGCAATCTCCATGCAGACGACATTTGCAGAATCATTTGATAGGCAAAGATTTGCAACTTCTTTGGGTGCTGTGGCATTCATTCCGTGGTTCCTCTAGTAGATGTTCTGACCTTGGGGAGCTGTGAGTGGGGAGGGCTAAGACGTGCATTGTCAGAGGGAAGAAAATATTCATATTTCACAGCAGGATTAAGATAAGCTTATTAAACAAATATTTTTTAAAATCGCTGCTTTGTTATTATGAACACTAATGACATCTTTTAAAGTTGGTTAGGCTTCTTTACCGAGAGGGAATTACTTGAACAAACAATTCAAGTAGCAAAAATTATGCACATTGTGAAAAATGTCAGCCAGATTGACAAATAACTGTTATCATGTCTAGCTTACATATGTACCAATGTAACAAATGGTGGGACTATTTCTTCCACACTGTTAGGTGCAAATGTAAATCTATATGTTGCATTGTAAGGATTAGTGAGGTTATCACTTGAAACCATGGAAAAAAGGTAAGCTGTACGTCTACTCTGGCACTTTTTGGGAATAAGTACTATTATAATTTACATTAAGACAAGAAGAAATGTTCTGTTGTGACTTGGAGCTTGGCACTTAAATCCTCTAGCACCTCCACCTTTTATTCTCACATGCTAAGGTGCCCAGCCCTCATGGATAGAGCTTGAGCATACCTTTCCATCATTTTCTGGCAAAAAAACAATTGTACAGAGAGAGATAGGTAGGTAGAACCTCCCCTACCTCAAAAACATAGCACTAATTTCAATTCTAGATTTTTCAAGTGGTTTGTTGAAAATTCAACATATTTTATTAAAGAATATAGGTAGAATTAATTCTCTTCTTAGAAAACCGTCAGAACTGTTAGTGAGAGGCTTTACTTCTGATTTCGTCTTAGGCATGATTTTTAATTAAAAAAATTGGTGGTAATTTTTAACAAATATGGGAAATTAGTGACAAATGATATATTTTGTCAGTAATAATTCTTAAGAAGTCAGAGGAAACTGATTAATCACTAATTTTGGTGGAATCAAGAATTTCTAATAGTGTAGGTGACCCAATTTCATAACACATATTGCATGCAAAACCTTCTATATCCTCTTCGATATCCATGTGCTAAATAATAGCATTCTTTTCTTAGATGGCCTTGGTAGTTTTTAAATGCTTTAAGACGTGTCCATGCTAGTAATGAGGCCAAGATGTCATTATGCTGTGGGGGATGATACAGGATGATATCTCAGAGATGTTGCAGATTTGGTTCCAAACCACTGCAATAAAGCGAGTATTGCAATAAAGCCAGTCACACAAATTTCTTGGTTTCCCAGTATGTATAACATTATGTTTACACTATACGGTAGTCTATTAAATGTGCAATAGCATTATGTCTAAAAAAAAAAAGGTACAGACCTTAATTAAAAAATATTTCTAAAAAGTGCTAATCATCATCTAGGCCTTCAGCTAGTCATAATCTTTTTGCTGGTAGAAGGTCTTGTAAAAAATGCAGTCTCTGCAAAGTGCTATAAAGTGAAGCACAATAAAACGAGGAATGCCTGTACAAATAGTGGTGACAGTGGGTGCAGCTCTGTGGAGTTCAGTCTTCCAAGAATGCCTAGCCCTGGGATCCAGAGCACTGCTAGGTTGCAGTGTAGCCACATGAAAGACCCGAATGATTCCTTTAGGGAAAGTTGAGAAGATGAGTCCACAATGGAGGGCATTTAATTATGTTTATCCCAAAAGGTACAAAACTGAGAGAACGAGAGAAGCACAGGGAGGAAACCAATTAATGTTGCATTTATTTTCATGTAAAGAACAGAACTTCCTCCTGGAGTAGCTAAAAAAAGGTCAACAGATTGAGTACTTCAGCAGGGACCCTGTCTTACTTTATGAGCTTAGCAGTTGCCAGCAAGCAAATCTGAGGTGAAAATTTTCCTATTTGTGACTATTCTAATAAAGTGGGAACATATGAATTGCTAAATTTCATAGCAATTCCAAAAGAAGAAAAATCATAAAATCCACTTACTGCCCTTTTCTATTTTGTCTTTGTGTCTTTAGCCACCTTGTAGTGATCCAGGTGCCATTTCAGCCACGGCAACAAAGCGTTCACCTTCCATACCATGCATCCCCAGGTGCTCTGTGATACAGGTCAAAGGGAGGTTTCGAAACCAGGCCCAGCTTACCAATGCCTTTGAACTAAATTTCCTTTGGAGCTGAACTTCTCAGTTTAAAAACAAAAACAAACCTATAGCTGAATTCCCTATAGATAAACAATCTGGTAATTAAAAAAAAAAATTGAGAATATTCTTTCTTATATGTTTTAATTCTTTATACCTGAAATCAATTTTGACTTAATAGTCTCATTTTAGGTGACTTGAGCATTATATTTTGATGAGAGACATCTACAATCATAAAATGGCTAAAGGGATTCAGCATTGTAATGAGTTAACCTGTAGAATGTGGAACTCTTAATATAATAGCACTTTCCTGCATAAGACATTTCTTAATAGCTACAGTTCATTAATCTAATTTACTAATAGTTTTCCTTTAACATATAGCCTCTTTAGGCTTATTTGACCAAATTTTGACATTAATTTTGTACTATAATTTGGTTGACTTGTTCAGGAAATGTAAATGAGAAAATGTGTCAAATACAAATAAAGCCTGTTTAGTCATTACTTGATGCATGAGGCTTGAAAAGCAATTATGATACTATTTTAACCCCTTTTTGTTATTGAATGCTTAAATTAAACACTTCCATCCTGACATGATGGGAGAATTAAGGCTTTGCCCTCTGATCACCTATGAATAGAAAACTTAACTGTAAAATTAAAGCAGAAAATAAAAACTACCTGGGATTATTCACGCAGTACTATTGCTTATACTGTTTCCTTTTTCTCCTGCTCTTTTCTCCTGCTATGTGTCTTCTTAAGAGTGCCAATAAATGGTAAGTTCCCCCATTTGCCCCGTGGAAAAGGCGTGGAGGGAATGGGAGTGTGTGTCTTCTCTGTAGATTCTGACAAAGCCTGCTGGTTCTGCTGTGTGTTGGCCTGCGTGTTAGCTCTTGTAGAACATTCCCTGCGTGAAGTGTGGGTCCACAATATTTTGTCAAGCTGTCTGATACTGGAGCATGCACAGTGACTCTAAGTTCCCTTTTCTCTTTCTGCTTTTCTTGGATTTCATGTATCAAGTCCACGTTTTCATTGCTAGCTTTATAAGGCAAACCATTTTGTCCACTTTTGTTTTGCTCACAGAACATTTGTACAGAGTTTATTTACTTCATCATACAAACTAGTCAACTAATCTTTGAAAGAATACAAGACTAGTTTTTCACCAGGCCTTGATGGAGTTTCAGACTGAAACTTCTATAAACTTTAGCACCCAAAGGCTAGAGGATTGTTATCAAGTAGCTTTGTGAAAGCAATATATCATTTAGACTGCTTTGTAAAAACAAAAATTTCTCTCTCATTCCTGTCAGTATTGCCAATTTCATTTAAATTTGTAAACATTTAACTTTTCTTTTTTGCTGAGCCATCGGAGGGATTGTTGCAGCTGTAGGTTGAGGGGATGTCAGCGACAGCTTCTTAGCATTCTCAGTGACCCCGATGTATCCTGCTAGTTCTCCCTCACTTTGTCTATAGTTTCTTTTCCTAGACAAAACCCACCGATGGCCACTGAGACCAGCAGCTTGGTGCATTCCCACACTGAGAAGAAGCACGAGCCGGCTGACATGCCCTACCAGACCGGGAAGCTTCACCCCACCATCCAGGTGGCAGATCTGCTTTAACACATCACACAGATAAAGTGTGCTGAGGGCTCTGGCTTAAAGAAGGAATACGAAGTGAGCATGAGCTTTGCACCAGGGCTCCTTCTCAACCTTCCTGGGCATGATGCCAGGTACTGTGCTCCCAACTCATTCAGCCAGCCAGTGGGACCCCATGAGGGCTGCCAAGAAGGGGCCATGTATTTCATCCATGGATCCATTTCCATCTGGCTGTGAGACTTATGACCCAGAAGCTAACATATGTTAAATGGAAAAAGGAGGACCACTTCACCTTTTCCATATTCTGTATGAATTTGCAATGAAAACAGAGGCCTACTAGGATTACCTTTCTTGGCTTTTCCTATAATTATGATTTTAAATCCTAATAATTTTGTGGTAATTACCTCAGGAAGAAACTGTCCACTTACAACAATTTTAGTCCAATCAGTGATGTCCTGTGGTGGAGATGAGACAACAGTAAAGGGACTGGCTAGTGTCATTGCTGTGACAGCTGTTATTGTCCTGCCAGCCCAGAGAGCATGTCACTGTCCTGGGATCTGGTGCTGACAGCTTTTAGGGGCATTTCCAGGAACAGTGATATTCTTACCATATATAAAATGTAGGGCTCACCTTCTTCACAGCCACTGTCATTAGCTAATTCTGTGGGAAAATCATTCAAGAACTAAAGAAAATTACTCCATTTGAAGAAGTCTGATTCAAAGAAGCACACCGTTACCTGAGTATGTGTGTGTTGTGTGTATGTGAGTGAGTTGGGGGGTGGTAGGGGAAGTTGGGGGGGGCTTAGATTTCTCTTTTTACCTTATTAAAATTAGTTCACAGTCATTGGTAAAGGTAAAGTAGCATGCTTACAGTAAAAATTGGGTTATGTAGATATGTGGTTTTTTAAGTCTTAGAATGTGTTTCTGTCCTGTATCTACCTAGTGACTAGCTCACAGGTGGGAAACATCTTGTCTGGAATTAGAGTATTTTTGAAATCAGTTCCTACCACCTCCATATCCTATGAGTTTCAAACTCTATTACTTTCTCCTCTTGGGGGCACACTTGTGATACTTCATTTTATGTCCCAGATGCTGCCTTGTCATGGATTTAGCTCCATCTCTGGGCTTAATTGCCAAAGATTTGTTACAGCAGTCAGAGCCATGCCACTGCTGCACTTCTTTTCAGACTAGGTCTTTGGTTCGACATAGACAGACAGACACACTTTGCTCTGCTGACATGTGCATCGTTGTATGTTACCAATGACCTTAGTTCAGAAGACTGCAAAAAGCCAAGGAAATTCAAACCAGGCCCCAAGGGTTTGATTTAAGTCCAGAAAATATTTTCAGATGAAGCTCTGCATTTTAGCAACACTGAAATTCTTAGTTTTACCTTTAGCTATTTAACTTATGCTTCAGTGAAACTGACTGCCTTTGCATATTTCCTCATGCACTTTTAAAGGCGAGCTTAGGAATTAATAGGATTAAGAGTAAGACTTCCAAAAGCATTAATATCTTATGAAAGACAAAATTAGGTTATTGAGAAAATATAAACCTAATGAATAGAGATGATATTGTAGTTCTAGCCAATATTCTGAATGCAGATATTGCTCAAATGTTTATTAAAGATGTTAATGTCAAAGAGATTAGTTATAGGCTCAAATAGCAATTCATAAAATAACAGTCCAATTTTTCATGGACTATTTTAAAATACCTACCTTGAGACTTCTGTAACTCACCATAGATGATGCATATTTGAAAGTATGCAAAAAATTTAGTAAGCTGACATGCTGGAGCTAGCTCACTAGAGCCTATTGTATGCACCACTTTCCAGCCCCTGTTCAGTGACATCATATTGGGAGTTTGACCATGATGGGAGTATTTGTATCATGGAAATTAGCTGATGCTAGAAATCAGGACTTTCTCTTTTCTCTGGAGATCCTGGTTTACCAGTCCATTACTGGGAACAAACCTGTAATTGACTGAAGAATTCATTCAATCTCCGTGAAACAAGGTCTCTAAATAGAAATTTATTGGGTTTTAATAGGAAAATACGTGTTATTCTTTGCATGCATTCTTTGCGTTCTTCGCATGTTGCATCTGCCCAAAAACAGTGAGGGTTTCAAGGCCTCGCCCTTCTGCCTTCACTGTGTTGTTGAGGGGTTCAGTGGCTGAGCATGGTAGATGAGGAGGAATGAGGCTAGAAGGAACACTTTTTTGGAAAGCCCTTTTGAAAGTTAATTTTTTTGTCAAAATAAATACTTGCTGTATTTATTTTTGCATGCACGAAGTTGGCAATTGCAACTTGTTTTTTGTTTTTTCAAGCTGGGAATTGTCTTAGGTAGGGTTCCCCAGAAGCAGTCCCTGAGACAGAGATTTGGATGCGAGTGATTTTTTAAGAAAGTTCTCCCAGGAGAAACCTGTTAGAGAGTAGGAGAAGCAAGTAGGAAGGAGCCAAGCCAGGTGGGATTTCAGGTGACTTAAGCTTCGGCCTGATCTGGTGGGGAGCCCTGGAGCCTAAGTTACATTGCAGTCTTGGTCCTGGCTCGCTGCATGGTGGACTTTCCCATGCTTCAGTGATCAAGCGCTGGCTATGGGCTACTCAAGGGGCCATAAACTCCCAGATCCTTCCAACTCTTGGCACATCTAGTTGAAGTGGCCCAATAGTCTTCTGAAGAAGACTGCACACAGAGATGGGCCAAAGGACCTTGGCCAGCAGAAGTCCATGTGAGCCTGGCTGGAAAGTCTGGACATCCAGGACAGAGCTTGGCTATATAGCAGCCCCTGGACTGTGCAAAATTTGAAATGACAGATTTCTGGACATTGATTCCTGATGTCACAACCTTGGTGTTGAAGCAGAAGGGAATGGCAGACCCAGGACTAGACTTCAGAGAACTCTTATGGATGGTCAGCCTAGCTGGAACAATGCTCCATAGCACTATATTCTTTTTAAGAAATAGTTTTTGTGTGATGCTGAGCTTTTGACAAGGTATTTAAGTGTGTCCTCAGAAGGCTTGAGAATCTCTGATGGACACAATCACCAGCGTTCGGCGCCATTGGGAAACTCGCAGAAAGCAGGCTGGTTCTGGAGTGGAGCCAAGAGGAGGCTAAGAAGCAAAGCAAAGACAATGGTGGAGATGAAGGTCTGGTCCAGTGTGGGGCGCAAGGACCCAGAGTAGTTTGGAGTTAGTGGCAGTTGATTGGAAGCAGTTGATGGGCGTGGGCAGCAGTTAGAACCCCAAGGCAGTTAGAACAAGCCAGTTCCACAGCAGCCGGCTCTTTACTAGCTGGAAAGTGCTACAGGCCACAGCCTAGGCTTAATTATGGGGAAGGTCACTCAAATATTGGACTATTGACTCTTCCAGACTCTTTGTACTTTAAAATTTCCCAGCCACAAGTTTGGTGTTGCAAAGTCCTGAGAATGTGCAGGGCTGGAGGGGCCAGAGCACTCCTGCCATGATGGCAGGTGTGGGAGGAAATTTCCTCGGGAGGGGCAGGGAGCAGGACAGGGATGGGGCAAAGGGAGGACAAGTTTGCTCTCTTCTCTTACCTCCCACGGTCCAGCCGACTCTCTGCACTTAGAGCGCCACTGAGCTGGCGGAGTACCGGGGCAGATAAATCATTTCTAGAGAGATTCTTGGCCTGGGCAGCAACATCTGTCAGGTGCGTTTCACTTGACAATAATGTTGGCCCCTGTTCCCTGTGAGCCTGGCTGAAATGAGGAAAGAGCAGAGGGAGAAGTTCAAACGCACTGTTTCCCACTTCTCACAGCCCTCACTGGGCTCTCAGCATTTCTCAGTTGGGTGTAGCTACTGCCTTTCTTGGTGGTTTTCCTGACTCCAGTCTACTTTTCACAAAGCAGCTAGAATTAAAACAACAAAAAGCAGTCCGTTCTGGCATTCCTTATTAAAGCTCTGTAATGTCCTCTGAGTTCTGACCTGACCCACCTCTCTGCAACCCTGTCCCCGGCCCTTGTGTGCTGCCCTGCAGCCTGGGGTCACCTATGGTCCCTGCCTCAGACCTCACAGTCTGCTTCCTCATCCTGGAAACGTTTCCTGCCTCTCCCTGGGGCTTGGTCCTTCTCACCCTTCATCTGGGTCCAGCAAAACCACCACCTCCTTAGAGGTTTTCCTGTCTAACAGGGTCTTGTTGTGAAGCTCTGTCTCTCTGTACTGTTAATTTATTCATAGTTCTCATCACCAAGTGTGATGTTTATTTGCCCAGTGTGTTTCCCCAGGGGAGGTGGCCATCACGTCGGTTCCTCACCCAACACTTAGCACGCAGTGTGTGCAGCACGCGTCTGATGAGTGAACACACGGACTCCAGTTTCTCTCTTTTGCAACCTACCGTGCATTCTGCCAGGAGGAAGACTCCACTTGCGTGTTAGTCTCTTGCTTAAAAGTTTTGGTAGCTTTGATTTTTATAGGCTGAATCTACAGCGTCTCAGTGAGGCTTTCAAGGGATCCAGGCGATTCTTACCATGCTGGCCCAGGTGGATGGCGTCTTCACTGTCCCCCAAACAAGCCAGCTCTTTCTGGTCATGTGCTCTGGCCATGCCTTGTCCACACTGGACTCCCCTCTCTCTTCCCTCGACAAGCTGGTTGCTTCCAAACATTGCCCTCTGATTTCTCTTCCTCTGAGTTATTTTCAGGATTTATTTTGAGACTCTTAACCTTTGTAACTCAATCATATATCTTTTATTGATAATTGTTTTTGTGAGTGTCTGCATGTCTGTTTTCCCCCCAAATACTTTAAGTTCTTAAAGGGCAAAGACTATGGATTTTGTACTTTTCAGAGTGCCTTGCAGGCACATAAACAAAGCCTTCTTAACTTTAATTGATTTAGGAAAACAAAACAAAACAAAAATATGTGATTCCTACTAGAATGTAAGCGAATGTCATTGCATGAGGGCAGTTATTTTTTTAAACTGTTTTGATCACTCTAGTGTCTCTGGAGCCTTGAGAAGTGCCTGGCACATTAATAAATATTAGTTGGATGAATTAACCTTTTAACATGTGGTGGGGAAAATATTCTTATTCCATGAAGCTTTCATGTTTTCCAATGATAAAAAAAATCAACATGGAAGTAAATGTTCTTAACTTGTCCTAGTCAGAAGTTTCGAGTTATTTTGAATGTTAACCGTAATTTATCAGCTGATTTCTACCATATTGAATTCAACTAAGTAATCTGCTAACAGTATTGATTTGCCATTTCATCAAAGAAGTCAATGAAAGGGTGGTATTTGGATTACAGAAATTTACTTTACAGGCAGACATTTCCAGGACACAGTCCTTGGGCAGAGTAGCATATAGTTAACACATTTGGGAGAGAGGGACAGTGGGATATGTGACATGGAGCTCTGCTCTGAGGGGGTTATATTAGGTTTCCTCTAATTTTAAGATTGGGGGGTTACCTCGTGTATCTTCTAACTAGTTCCCCCAGGTGCTG